GGTGCTGGGAGAGAGAGGTTTGGAAGCTGCAAGGGAAAGGGGAGTCCCCGGGGAGGGTGCAGGGAGAGGGGGAGACCCGGGTGGAGTGCAGGGAGATAAAGGTTCGGAAGCTGCAAGGAAAAGGGGAGACTCAGGGGGATACAGGTAAAGGGGGGGATGCAGGGAGAGGGGAGACCCGGGGGGATGCAGGGAGAGGACGGGATGCGGGGAGACCTGAGATCCAGTGGGATGCAGGAGAGAGGGTAGATTCGGAAGCTGCAAGGGAGAGGGGAGACTTAAGTACTGCAAGGGAGGGGAGCCAGAGGGTGTGGAGAGACCTGAGAACGATGCAGTGCAGGGGAGAGGAGACACCAAAGAGCTGCAACGGAGATTGAACGACACTCCGGGGGCTGAAGTGAGAGGGAGACCCAGGGGAAAAAAGGGAAGGGAGGAGATGGAGAAGGCTACAGGGACACCTAAGATCTACTGGCTGCAAAGCAGAGGGGAGACTCGTTGATGCAAGCATGAAGGGAGATGCAGGGGCCAGCAGTGGAGAGAGGAGCCTGGGAGGCTGCACCGTGGCAGGGACACCCAGGGGGAGTGGTGGAGAAGGGAGATGCAGAGGGCTGGGAGAGAGAGGGGAGACCCAGGAGCTGCCAGTGAGAGGAAGGGCTGGATGGAGAGGGGCTGGAATCAGCCCCACTGCCCCCAATCCCCTATCCCTGCTCCCCACCCTCACTGCAGGTCATTTGGGGATGCACTACCCCTAAACCAGCTGGCTCCGCTTCCGGTGAGAGCTTCAGCCTGGCAGCAGGGTCAGGTGGATGTCTATCCTTCTTGGGTGGGAAAGTTGGAATAATGTGAGGTGGATAATCACACATTTATAGTTCCTATTGCCTATTCCCATCCCTGGGACTGGGAGTTTTTTGCGTGCAACAGTGGGGCTGGCTGCAACAGCCTTGGGGTGGGAGAGAGAAAAGAGAGCTTTCAGTGAAAAAAATCTCCGGTTTTTGGAGTTCGCAGGCCACTTGCTGCTGGTTTGATCAGTGACCCAGAGCCCTCCAGAGCTGTAAACATCACGTCTGCCCAAAGAGTCTCCCTCCTTCCCCTCCCCTTGCAAATTCCTCTTGCAAACATAACCTGTGCTGGACTGAGTGGAAGAAGGCGTTATTACCTCCCCAAATAACAGGGGTGCA